ACTTTGTCTCTTTTAGCTTTCCCTTTCTGTCTCTCCATTCTCCATGGCCTACCATTTTCTCCCTTTCCACTCATTTTTCCTCTTCTCTTTTTCACTCTCATTGAGGAAGGAGGCTCTGAGCCCACAATGTCCTTCTGCCGTCTCTAAAGTTCCACTCTGAAAATGAGGCCTCCTGCAACATTGTGACATCATTCTGCATTAGCCAGTAGTGGGCCATCCGGGGTGGGGTCTTGGCCTCCTGGGATCACTGGCCCTCCAGCGATAGGGGCACATTCACCTGCAGGGCCCTTTAGTCTTCAGAGCAGCTTCTAGAGCATGGATCCCTCCTAATTCTGCTCTAGCCCAATGTTCCTCATAGTCAAGCTGTTCTTGGGATGGAAATGTAGCCTGAAGGTGTCAGGCAAGAGAGTGTGTCCATGCTGAAGAAGCTGGTGTCTGAGCAGCTACAGGTGCCTGAAGAACAGTAGCACCTGCTGTTCTGTGGCCAGCTCCCGGATGATGACAAGCGCCTCTCGGACTACTGCATTGGGCCTGACGCCTCCATCAGTGTCATCATGCAGCCCGTGGATAAAGCAGCACCAGACAAAGCCCTCCAACCTCAGGACCAAGCCCAGTCCCTGTGGCGCCAGCTGGACAGGGTCCTAGCCAAGCACTTTGGACCCCAGGATGCCAAGGCAGTGCTGCTGCTGCTGAGGCAGGAGCATGAGGGACGCCTGCAGAGGGTCACCCTGGAGGCCCTGGAGCAGCTGGTGTGCCACCTCCTGACAGAGCAGTGGCATATGGAACTGGCTGGGGAGATGGAGTCCCAGAGTGCCTGCAAGAAGGAGGAGGAGAAAAGAGGAGGAGGAGGAGAAGAAGAAGAAGAAGGCAGTTGATTAGTAAACTGGCCAGTCCTACTCATTTCCTTGCTAAAATTCTCTGGCCTCATCCTTCTGTGTTCCCAGGCAAATTTTCCCACTATTTCCTCCTCATGCATATATAGCTAGTCCTCTTTTTTGAAACTTTAGTGTAGCTGGGGGTAGTATTGGGACCCCTGTGTTTCCTTTCTGAAATGCAGAATGATTCCACCTCCCCATCACTACCCCTTAGAAGGGTTCTGAGAGTCCAGGGAGCCCAAAGGGACAGTCAAAAGTGACATTTTCTACCTAGATTGAGTAGCTCTGCCCAAGCATGCCCCAGAGTCTCTTGACAGACCTTTTCCCCTTCAGAACAGAAAGACAATGTGAGCTCATTTTCCCTCATCCTCAGACCGCAGTGCCAACCCCCAGGGCCCCAACGACCAAGAGGACAGTGCTTTCTGGGTGAGGCTGTCCTTGCCATCCACCTGCTGAACTTCTACAGCCACAGGGGCAGGGTAGCAGAGATGGGAGCAGGGGAGGCCACCTGATGCAGGCCAGGTCCAGGGCTCATAGGGTCTAGAAGCACAGCCTTAGGCAGGAAAAGTGATTTAGAAGTCATACCCTCATGTGTCTGTGAACAAAGCCATGCCCGGCCACCCCATTCTGACCAGTAGGAAACACTAAGCTCCCACTATCTCCACAAGCTCCCTGGGAGGGCAAAAAATGGTATCAGCCAAGACCCTGGCACTCACAGAGTACAAAGCCTAGATGAAAGGAGGTCATTCACGCCAAGAGGAGAGAGGCAATGTGACAGCAGTGTGACTGACGAGCTGCCCTGATGCCTCACAGGGTCCTGGCTTAGCCCGGAGGGGCTGTCTTCTGCAGAATCTGGGCAGAGCTGAGCGCTCTGCCCATTCTGGGTGTGACAGCGTGGCCCTCATCCAGGGCTAAAGGAGCCCTCACACTCCACAGAGATAGATCTTCACTACTAAAGTCCCCAGGAGCCATTGCTGCAGAAGCTCCTGTCTTGGAGGATAGAGATGGAGGGCAGGGGCAGAAGAATGCTTGGCCAGGAACCTGCAGGGCCACTTTTCTAGGGAGCATCCGGCCCTTGGCTTGAGGCCCTTGCCCTCCTCCATCCCATTGCCAGCTCAGCCTTGTCTTGCCTCCTGACTGTGGCTTACTTGCTTCATCTGTGGTGTGCTCAGGCTTCCCACCTGTTTCATGGGATCATCATCATTATATCCACTTACTTTGTGGGTACAATTGGGAGTGGTGTCTTTTAGCCGTAGCAGCGACAGCCTGGAAATCCTCTGCCTTTGTGAGCCTGCTTAGTAGCAGTGTTCTCTACCTCTGCTGGAACAAGAGACCCCTCACTCAGCATATGACTCCTCTCCTTCACCAGTGCGCACCCCGGCCCCCTGGACAGAGGAGAGGAGAGTGGGGCTCCCAGGGCATGAACGGCTTCTCCGTGGCCACAAGGGCTCAGCTCCTGCAGGCTTGGGGTGGAAGCCCAGGCCTGCTCCTGAATTACTATCCTGGTCCTACTCCTGCTCCCAGGCCCTCCATCATCCGTGAGAAAGGCTTTTTGACAGTTCTGTGGGTATATTTGTGCTGGTGCGGTGCCATTTGCTGAGGGGGACAAGCTTATTATCTTTACATTAGGGGAACTAATAGCCCATTTCTCAGGAAATCTGTGAGTGATAAAAATAAGTGGGCCATTTTATTCCTTTTGCTGAGAGAGGCTGGCATGAAGGACGGGGAGCCTCTGTTTCCTCTGGTTAGTGTATCGGGGCTGACTGAGGGCAGGCCAGGGCAGGCAGTCACTCCACTGCCTCTGTCCCCAGGGGCACAGGGAGGCTGTCTCCAATCCCAAGTTGGGAAGAAGGAAGGTTGGCCTTCCCTTTAGTGACATGTCCTTCTCCTATCACCGCCGTCATCCTTCTCAAGGGCCCTCCTGTCTCTGTACCTCACCTCAAAAGCCAAGCACAGTGAGGAGGAGATTCACACAAACTTACATCAGTTTGTTACCTCTCCCAGGGATAGTTTCACTGTCCAAGAGTATGGCTCTTCTCGTTGTGGGATGACAGGCTTTGTCATCATTTGTAGTGATCAGGGAAAAGCAGGTAGGGGTATATCGAGAGGCTGTGTGGATCCTAGCTTTTGAGTCACCTGCCATGAGCACCCTTCACTGTCTCAGATTCAGCTTAGTTTGAACTTGAACCTGTGTCAGCAAACCAGTCAAAAGCTCCCTGTTCTCATTTCTGCTCTTCTACCGGGATGATATAGGATTGGGGGAGGTTCACTTTCTAAACTGCAGCCTTGGGCAGGTAACTCTTCCCTTAATTCTCCACACCTCTCTGCTACCATGAAAGGACATATATGTACTTACTGTACAACTTTGTTCAAGTAGGAGGCATCTCAGGACAGCCACCTTTATATTTCTATATACAGAGAAACTGGACTCCCCATCCTAGCTTGTAGATCAAGTGCAGGCTAACACCCTCTGGCCCTGGGCAGAGATCTTTGTAATGGAAACAGGCACGGCATCATGTCTTGCGTGCTATTCTATCAATCCTTTATTCAGTGATCAGTAAACATTTAGGCTCAGTTATTCATAAGTAACAGAAATTTATTGCTTACCCTTCTGGAGGCAGGAAAGTCCCAGATCAAGATGGTGAGGATTCAGTGTCTGGTGAGGAAATGCTCCTCACCGATGGCACCTTCTGTGTGTCCCCACAAGACAGAAAGGCATTCATCCTTTGTTCCTTCTCTTTTATAAGGGTACTAAACCCAAGCACGAGAGAGCAGAGCCTTTATGACTTACTTACTTCCCCAAAGGTTCACCTCGATATTGTTGCAGAAGATAAAATCCCACCATCTCAATTCTGGGGGGACACCAACGCACAGACCATAGCAGCCTCCCACCAAGCGCTGGGCTTTGTGCTGGGAACTTGGGCTGGAGGGTGAGAAGCCTGACTTCCCTGACAGAGAGTAGCACAGCCCCCTGCTCTTGCTTGAATGATGGGGCAGCAGAGGGGCTGTGGAAAACCTGGCATCTTGCCTTGGCCTCTGATGGAGATGTGTTGCTCTTTTGCTTAGTTTTAACTGATGGAACAGGGAGTAGTTCGTGGGATGAAAAGTCTTACAGATGTGGAAGAAACTGCCAGTGTTCCAGGGCTCCAGAGACCCTAGGAGTCAGATTTTGGAAGCAAGCCCCAGTCTGCTCTCCTTCCACCCTTCCTTGTTCACCCCAAGACTATTTGCTCAGGATTAAGTGAGACTTTACTTGTATAAAGCTTCCAGCCGTTTTAAATGAGGGAGAGAGGAGCACAGATGTAAGGAAGTGGAGGGCAAGGCATGCTTCCCCGGAAGAGTGACAGGCTCTAGTTGAGAGTCCTGAGGGAAGACATGGCAACACTGTGCTGAGGTGAGCACCAGATGGGACGGGCAGGGCTTGGGGCATCTCGCATCTGCGCTGGAAGAGGTTCCACTGGGGGGATGCGGTTTAGGTTAGACAATCAGCTTAAATTTCCACATCTGGGACTAAGCTTGAACATAACTTGGCTTTTGCTAAATGAAAAATCCAATGTGGGAAAGGCCATAATAAGTGTAGTAAGCTCTCCTGGATGCAGTTCTAAAACTGTTGAATTCCTCCTACTTTGGGAAGTAGGAGAATCATTGCAAATGACAGCCTAGAAGGACTCAATCTAGGTCTTTACATTAGGACTCATTTGACAAAACCACACAGTACCCGCCACCCCAAAGTACTGACATACTCATCAACTATGGTAGTGGAGGGGTTGTGAGGGGTCACTTCATGATCTCCACCTCCTGGTGTCCAAGCCTTTGTACAATCTCCCTCTGAATGTGACTAACTTCTAATTAATAGAAGCCTAGTGTGAGTAGAGTGATCAGGCCAACCCCTGAACAAGCACAGTTTGATCGCCACATGATTCAGTGTGGAAAGATCGGGGCTGAGCATAAGCCCGTGACCCAGTCTTGGATCTACCATTTGCCTGGAGGCTTGGACAGGTCACTCCATATCTCTGAACCAGGGCTTCCTTCACTTGCAAAGTAAAAGAAGCGGGAGTGTGGATTTGAACTCTTAAGGTGCTTTTTGGTGCTAAGATTCCATGTTGTCATGAAGTCACAGACGTGAGCTGCTGATGCCCCAGGCTGGCAGTAGCTGGTTCCCTTTGGAGCCCTGTGAGGCCTTGAGCAACAAGTCATGGATGGACAGTGGTAAGATGCTCAGGATGGATTGCTGCCAAATAGCATGGGCATTATAAGAATACTTTCAAAGAAATACGAAGGTTACAAATCATACAAAACAATGCTGTAGATGTTGTTTAGGGACACACACCTAAGAAATATTAAGGAATGCTTGGTAGGAAGGGAAACATAATAAAGGGAAGGTTCATAGGGCTTCAATTGTATTATAAAGTCAGTTCATCATATCAAGTAGTGGGTACCTGGGTATTAGATTTCTATTGTTGTGTAACAGAAAACTACAAATTTAGCAGCAGTTCAGTGGCTTGGCTTACCTGCTGCTTGGGCTCTCATGAGGTAGCAATGAAGACATTGACTGGGTTGTGTTCTCTTCTGGGGGTTTGATGGGAAGAATCACTTCCAAGCTCATTAAGGTTGGCAGCATTCATGCACTTGTAGGACCTAGATCCTTAGCTTCTTGTATATTGGTGGAGATTATCCTGGAGACCACCTGTCATTCCTGTCACACAGGCTTTTTCCCGCATGGGTTCTTGCTTTACCTGTGCTTGCAAGGAGACTGACTAGAGTGAGTAAGCTAGCAAGACCAAGTCTTATTCAGTGTTTTGCAACCATGGGCATGACATCCTATCACCTTTGCCAGATTCTGTCAGTGAGAAGCAAGACACAGGCATCACCCACATTCAAAGGGAGGGGCTTATGCAAAGGCATGGACACAAGGAGATGGAGATCCTGGGGACATTTCACAACTTCTCTACTAAAGGAAGTGTTGATTATGTCATTATGTATTCTCGTATTATAGAATCATAGGTAA